ACATGGTTGCAGGCTGAATCAGCTTATTCATAATAACCTACCTACGCCAGATATTATTCACCAGTCGGATCACCCGGCTAACGCCGAGCTCTCCTCCTTCACTTTAGAACGGCTTCGCCGAGTTGGCCTGGCTTCGTCAGGCGCGCTTCACAATGGAAATTTTTTCAATCAAAGGGCTGCTTATACGGTGATCGAATCGTGACAGATAGAAGCACAGGCTTATATTTGCAGGAGGGATGTGGTCCATCCATACAATACATGGATATAGAAACAAAGTGCAATCGGCAACGCAAAGCAATATGAATCGCTCAGTATAAGAGGAAATTCCATTTTCATTGCCTGCACAGAAGTGCCTAGCGATGAATGCTTCATTTCAAATTACCGTGCACTCCGCTCGCTGAAGAACGAATGAAGATCATATTAAATTCAGTGAAAATCTTTGTTATAAGTGGCTCTTTTGCAACTTTTGCACGAAGAGCCCTTCATAGACATTTTCTACACACTCTATACTATATTACATCTCTATTACACGATTCGCCCCCAGATAACTGGGCCCCTTTAGTTGCGACAAAGTACGTACTATACTCCCTTATTATGCTTTCTCACCAGTAATTGAAGGTTCAGAATTCAAAAAGCTATCGATTATATAAAGTGCCACATCATTTAGATTTTTGGTTCTTCTCGAATTACCCTAAACTTGCAAAGCGTTGCAAGCGAACTGCGTACCCCCTCCCCTCACCCCTCTCGTCGACATCGACATTGTGAATAGAAGGATAATAGGATGAGTTAATTTTCTAGTGCTATCAGAGAAGTGATGGCTAAAGGGAAAAGTTTGCATCCTGAGGATTTGGTACTTGGCAGTTCAGTGGTAAGAGATGTAATAAGAATGGCCCCTTATCCTTTCTTATCGATTGAGATTGCTTCTCGCCCGTCATCATTGTCCCTATCACTAAAACTCTACACTTCGATAGTGTAAAGACTCCAGGACTTTGACTGAGCAGTGAAAACGTCCCCTATCAGCCCCCACTTCCTCACCCGCCATCGCTGTCCCCACCTCCCCTCCACATCATTTGCTGAAGTCAACGCCTAGCTGATGCTGTGTCCGCGTTATGGATATGGTGACCTTCCCATTCTAACTCCCCTTATCAAATCTTACCAGCTGCTTGCTCCTGTCACCCACCAATGATATTCCCATAGTCTATATCATACCTTGGAACAAATGTTCCAGTGTTGCTGTGATCCGCACTATGGACTTGGTGCCCCTCCCCTTCTGACGCCTCTTATCAGATCTTATCAGCTGATATCACTCCCTCACCCACTAGTAATGTTCCCGTCACAGCCCCTATATCACTGCTTGGAATCAACTTCCTACAGCAACTGGGACGGTCGCTATGAATTTCGTGACAGACACACAGACATACTCAGCGGATTACATATAGTTGGATGATTATCTGTAATGTACGGGCACCAATAGAACCATCAAATAGACCCACACTACCATATGACGTCTTTTTTGGCTGATACAAGCTTTCAGCTTTGAGCTTTCAGCTGAGTAAGCAAGCACAGTTTTTAAGAGTTCACTTGGAGTTCACTTCAAATGTTGACTTCACTCATTCACTTTTTACTCCACTTTTTAAGAGTTCACTTCAAATGTTGAAACGTTACCGCTGGAATCGCCATGCTCTCCGATGATCCACCCGTGACAAGAAGACGGAGCGATCTTCAGTTTTTCCGACAACATGAAGCGGAATCTACAATGCAGGTCGTGATTTGATAGTGCATCAGATTTCTTCGTGTAGCTTACCTTGCTGAATCGAGATTGGTACCGGAGCCAAAGACGCGCTCCTTTGGTAGACCGGACAGCTTCCATGTCACATATGTGAGCACATCAACTAAATGAGTTCCTTAGCTACGAATACTCTTGGAAAATTTTCTTAGATCCGGTAGATCCTACTGTGAGGTCTCATTTCTGTTATATCGTCAAGAATGCGGTTTGCGCACACCTTACATTTCACTAATTGCGGTATTCGCGTTGGATGTCGAACTGCCCCTTAGCAAAAGTTTTCTGAGAATCTGGTTATGTGGTGTATTCCCGCTTCTACTCCTGTGGCGCGGAGCCATGCGATTTGTGCCGAGCAGAAGCGATATTGGTGCTCAAATGGTCAAACTACCGCGCTCTGAGCCGAACAAATGGTCAAACTACCGCGCTCTGCGCCGAACACCGGAAAATGTGACAGCAAAGAGTAAATAATGAAGATAGATGCATTCAGTTTGCCTGGACGGAGAAAGAGAATTCAGCTGAGTTGTATTTCGAACTCAATCGACCTTAATGGATCGCCTGCAAAGGTCGGTTTATTTTCGCTCCAGAAATTCCTCCTGCTTAGCACAGATGTCTTTCTGACCGCCACACAATAATAAATAATAGAAGAAAGGAAACCAGTAAAAGGATGTCCTCAGAGGTTGTAAAAAGTTAGTAAGGGCGGAGTCACAGACGTTACGTCATTGCAAGGGACAATGTGTGATTTTCATGCAACTTCACATCCAAAAGTGAAGCCTCTCGCTCATGATAACGGGAGCCACAACTCTACTTCTTTCTTCGAGGGCTTTGCTTTATTGTACCCCGCGTATTGAAGCCAGTGCAGTCTAACCTTCGCGAGGTTTTCATTCCGTGACATAGCATGAGGCTCACCTGGATTAGACACCACCATGATCAGGGTATCTGGAGAGTGTTGAACGAGTTTCGGAACGATTCCCTTAAAAATGTCCACGTTTCTCTGCACAAGTGACAGACGTGATTCTCCTTCCTTTTGACGAGCCCCGGCTGTGATGATGCATAATTTTGACCCAGCCGTGACCGAGTAGTCTGTAATGATTTGATATTACATTGAAAAAGTTTACAATAACGTGAACAACCCGTTCATGAAAAGCTGGCCGTGAACCACCCCCGGCATGTATCGATGATGTAATAGGTTGGCGGGAAAGTAGTGTCACATTTTTCAAATCAGGCGTTCTTTTTATAGAGGCGTGTAAGATCAAAATTATACAGCAATGTTACTGCGGGGTTCTTGCCAGTTTTTGAGCACCTCATGGATGCCATCGCTTCACAATGCAGGGAGGCGCGACGCAAAGTTGGACATCATCTCAATCTTGACTTGAACTCGGGTTATGGAGGTTTTCTCGTCCACATAACGATTGAGTACGGGAGGCAACTTGCAGTTAGAAGGAGCAATGTCTGTGCTACACCAGTGCAAGGGGAGAGCCATCCAGCTCTATTGCATGAGGTACGGCTCGAACTTTTTTGGACGGAGTGCGCTGCACTATCATGATGAGGGCGGGCTGTGCGGACAAATTTTTCCCTCTGATCGACGGTACGCTTTAGATCTCGTAGCTGCTTTGCGTACGCATTGACCGAGGAAGCAGCTTCTTCATCCAGCACTTTCACGACCCACAGCTCCCTCAATCTGAGTTCACAGTAACCCAAACCTCACTTCGTCATCAACTGTAGGCTCCCTTTGAAGCATTAGCGTCGTGGAAGGTTGTCCGATGAATTGAGGGCATCGTCCTTATTCAGCTCCATTATTTTGGCATCTGCAGCTATCATGCTGGCGTCAGGGTGGTGGAAGAAAGAGTTTGAGGAAGCGTCTGGAGGGGTCGGTGCCGATGGTAGCGGATAAAATCCTTGTCCATATTGCAGAAGAAGAAGCAGGAGTCAAGCGAGTGGTACTAATAGAAAGACCACTCCTTGATGTATAAGTGCTCACATTACCGTTACCCCTCTTCAGGTAATGGGCAAGTATTTTGAGTTCGAAAAAAGTGACAGAACTTCCCCGCCAACCTATTATATCATCTTGGGTAGTTCTATCAACTCTACGTTTCATATGTGGGAATGTGGAGTAGGGGCTCTGATCGAATTCTCAGAGCAAAATAAGCTTCGAACATTTACCGGTATCAGAACCTTCTACCCCGAACTGTTATGAAAACAACTCGGAGGCTATTGCAAAGGGAAAGGTCAGAGAGTCTTACTGATCGGACTGTGTAGTGGGCCAAAAGTCTCGTCGAACGCCGCGCGAGCTGAGAAAAACAACCTCACTATAGAGCTTCAGCCTTTTAGGAAGACGGTCCTGGTGGTCAATAATACTTCGCCATGAGCTGTAGAAGCATCCGTACGATGTTACGAGCTGTTATCCTGCTATATATAATCCGCTAAGTATGTCTGTAAGTGTGTGTGTGTGTGT